TATCTGCTTGGCCTTTGGTGGTAACATAGACCTGGGACATCAACTGCCATAGGACCACAGAACCAGACATGGGCACAGGCTGCTGTCCCATGGCCTCAGGTGGCAGTGCAAGTCACTCAGATCAGCATGCTCGCCTCCCCCTGCAGCAGCACCAAGCTCAGACAACCACATGGTGTCTGGTGGCAGCCCAGACCACGGGCTCATGGCCTTTGCTGGTAATTTATACTACAGACTTTGACACAGAACCCAGATGCAGTAGAACCATGGACCCAGACATGGTCCCTGATGGCAGTCCAGGCCAGGACCATACCATGGCCTTATGTGGTTGCTCCCAGGCTCCTCATATCCTTCTCTTCCTCACTGCTGTTGAGTCTCAGTTCCTTTTTTCCATAGTGTATGGACCCCTTGGTGTCACTTTCTCCCCCATCTCTCCATCATGTACTCCGTCTTCCATTTCTCCATCACACATTTCCCATCATAGAGGGACCCACATGCAGAAGCTTGGCTATCTTTTTTTCAGATGCCCCACATTTTAATTCTTACATATGTATATCTTTCAGGAAGTTTATAAGAAAGCAGGTTTTTATATGTCTTTTCAATCATCCTTAGTATTAGAAGATACCACACACTTTGGTCACAAGACATGTAGAATAAAACGGTCACTGATTTGGAAGCTTTTACCCTTTGGCTAACTTTCATAGTCCAGAAAGGTACTATGTAAGCTTCTGTGGGAAAATAGTCATCAGCAATTTTACCTAGCTGCAAACTCTGTAATCTACCTTGAATAGCTGGCAAGATAAGGCAATGGGTGCAATAATGGCATAAATGTTATAAAGACAACCAATTGCTTTCTGATTGGAATTAAGCCCTATTGGAATTAAGTACCTATTCATTGGCACTGTTATTCTGGCCAAGAATTCTCATCTGGAGAACTTATAGGCTCCAAGGGTGAGCTTACTAATATTTTGCTAAGTGCTCAAAACAACAAACTGTCTTGAAAATATCATCTCTCTACCTTTAGATTAGCATGACTTTTCAGTCCTCACCTGATAATTTTCTTTGTGTAGTTGAGGGTAGTTAACACAGAGGTTAACAACTATCAACGTGTAAAGAATACACATCTATAGAGTACTTTGCTCTAAATGAGGCATACATATCATACATTACCTCCCCAAGACCCAGGGAATATCAGATGAGGGGCCAAAGGTCAGGGAGGACTGGGATGAAAGACTATTTTCAGGATAAGACAGATCTTTTGCTCATGAATATACAGAAGTTGTGGTTACCTGAGCAAGAGTTGCTGAAGATCAAGACAGTTAGCATTGCATCATTGATAGAAAAGCTGTATGTGAGCTCCAAACCCTTGCTGAAGAGCTACTGAGTGCTAGTGGAGGGAGTCAGTTGTCATTAGGAGCTTGGCCTCTGGTTGAATAACCATGCTCCAGTTGATAGCTCCAGACTAATGTACCTATGGACAGCATGAATTTACTCAGTGACTTAAGAGGGGCAGGACATGAGATTAGCTGGGAGATGCCAGGAAAGGGCCCCAGGAAGAGTTGGGAGTGGGAGGAAGACTATGATCCAAATATATTTGTATACATGTATGAAATTCTCAAAGAGTAAATGAAAAGGTACTATATTAAAAAGAGACTATGGAGGGCAGAAGAAAGTAGCATATACTTTTAAATAAAATTAGCTGTCCTAAATAAATTATATATATATATATACATACTGTCATAAATAAATTCTATGTATAGAAAACTCTCCTTCTAGAATGAGTAGACAATAAGTTCTTTCTCAGACAAGAAAAATTAAAGAAGCCATCACTATCAGTGAGTCAACCTAAAATTAGAAGCTCTTTAATGAACAGAAAAAAAAAATGAACAAAAAAATTGAGGCCATAGGAGAAAAGAAAAAAAAAAATAGAGAGTAAAATATAGGCAATATCATGTTTTTAAAAATCACATTAGTGATTAAAATAAAATTTGTAAGATCATCTGATCCTTCAAACAATGATACCCTAATGTGAGGAGAGTGAAAGGGCCTAAGGAGATGTCAAGATTCTACGCTTTACCTCAGAGCAGTGGAAGACTGATAAGACAAGCACAAAAATTAATATGAAATTTATATGACATATGATAAATAAAATCAAGATGGAATCTTAAAAATGAGTCAAGTGAAGAAAAATACCAATCAAGCAGAAAACAAAGAATAGATTATCTGTAATACACTAAAAAGTAAAATTATCTAAATATGCTAGCCACAAGGAAAGACTGATGGAATAAAATTTTAAAACCAGCTCAATAATATTCTGTTTAACATAGTGTTTACAAGGAACTACAAATTCAGTGGCACAGGGAGGTGGAGAACAGAAGAGTAGGGAGAGATATAACATGGAACCTACGGTAAATTCCAAGGGTGGTTACAGTAGCGTTCCATAAAGAGGTGTCAAAGTAGATACATACATGAGAACACTGTATAATGGCAAAAAGATCAGCCTCCCCCCTCCCCCCCCAGATACAATGACTATAAATGTATAAATGTACCACACAACAGAACTTCAAAACTACATGAAACAAAATTTGATAGAGCATTAAAGAAGCACAAATATGCCACCATAGGCTGGGATTTCAAGTCTTTTTTTAAAAATTTAATTTATATATTTATTTATTACAATTTATTCACTTAGTGTTCCTGCTGTAGTCCCCTCCCTTGTCTCCTCCCTGTCCCGCCCTCCCTCCCCTCCCACTATGCCCTTTCCCTAGGCCCCTGCTAGAGGAGGACCTCCTCCCCTACTATCTGACCCTAGCTAATCAGGTCTTATCAAGGCTGGCTGCATCATCTTCCTCTGTGGCCTGGCAAGTAAGCCGTCCAGACAGAATATTGGTAAAGGTACAGAATGTGTGGGCAACACAATCTGCAGGATCTGGTGGACAAACATGGAAATTCCAGCTCTATAATACAGAGCAGGCGTTTGCTCAACAACTGAAGTCTAAGGAAATTTGAAGAAACCAAATACTTAAACATTGCTGGTGGAAATACAAAGGGTTCCCTTGGGGGAACTTGGTAAATTAAACATGGGCCTCTCCCTGTTTAAACATCAACATTATTAAACAGTGTGTGAAACCACTAATAGTATTTCAATGGGTTGATTTAAGAAAATGAAAGAAACAGAAGTAAAATAAATTAGTAGTGAAAGCAGGGCTTGGTACAGCAGGAGCAAATAGTGTGAATTTGTGCCCTCATCTCCAAAGCTAGTTATGGTTTGGAGACCCTAGCTACATACATAGGGTCACTGAACACTGGTAGAAAGATCAACGTCCTCCACCTCCAGAGATACAATGACTCTAAAACGTAGAATGAACACGTGTTCACTCGTGGAAATTGCTTTCTCTCTGTTTTGGATACACCGTATAGCATGATTCTCATCTTTTGTGTGGTTAAATGTGACTTATGACTGAATTTTGACCAATGGAAGTAGGAGAAAGGGCTGTTCATTACTTGGCTCATAAAGCACCTGAGACCACACATTCTACTTTCCTTCTCTAGTGGTTTATCATTAACCACCACTGGATGAAGATTGATGATGGGAACACAATTTCGGCATTCCACATAGTAAAAAAAATACTAATTTAGTAAGCTTCAGAAATTGGGAGCAGCCAGGATGTTTTAACTAATATAGACACTATTGTCAGCTTTTCATTAATTCTGACTTTTCTGGCATTCCTCCTCTTGTTCAGCCATATTGCTTTTCTGGTACGGCAATACAACAATGGTTTCTCGCTTTCACTGTATCTACTTTGCATTATCCAAAACTTAATATTTGGGATTACTGAAATATAATCTCTACTTTGTTCCAAGAAGAATGCAAAGTAAGTGTATAAAATGTATCAATCTACCCAAATCAAATAACTTTGAAAGAAAAAAAGGAGGTAAGAGTGTGGAATAGAAATGGAATAATGAATTATTCTTAAGGATTGAGATAGCTACAAAAATACAATGCAGCCAAACCTATATGTTCATACCTCATAATGATTTCTACAGGCCAATGTTATTGGAAAATAAGATACATTACACAATTTATTTTCATACCCCTTAAAAATTGTGGTAAAAGCACATATGTTAGAAACTGATCAGAGAGTATGTGTTTTATCCTGATGCTGATACCAGACAAAGCTCCTACAGCAACTAGACCAAAACCCCATCACAAATCAAAGTCAACTCGCTTCAAATATGAAATAGTAAAATCAAAAGAATCCTAGGTGTAAGAGGACCTCATTGGTTTATATTCACCATTAGCTTTTTCCAGGCATCCTCAAGAGCAGCTAAAGCCCATATTTAATCCACGGAGAAAAAAAGATAGGTAGAAAAGTAGATCATGATTGCCTTTCTCTCTGGCATCTAACAGTTGTGGGTAAATTACTACGTATCAACAATTTGAAGGGCCACTTCAAAAGTTCTGGAAGTTTCAGCATAAATAACAGATACAAATGCCTCTTTTCAGTGGAAAATAGACAGACATGCAGGGACCTTCAGGTTTAGAGAAGGTGCTTCAAAAGAGAAGCCACTGAAATTTGATATTTAATCGACTTTAGCTGCAGAACAGTTGAGCAAGATTATTTTAAACTATATAATTGTTCTTCGTGCACATAGTCATAGCTATAATGCTACCTAATTTGATTAAATCATAAAACTGAACGTTCTCAAATTCAAACAAAATTTTTGATAGTATTTACTTCTAGGGTGAAGGATTTGAGATGGACAGCAGTTCTCGGCGAAACATTTTTCATTTTATCCATTTCCATCTCCATCTTTACTTTTTCCACATGAGTTAAGGAGTTACATGTGATCCAAGATATTTCTCATGCCCACTAGGGGGACCCTTTGTGCCACGGCACCAAAGTTTATGCCGCACAGGTTTTACTCCTAATTAGCCATTTGATTACACCCATTCTCTGCTGTAGAACACCGGGAGTCGGTTCCTGTTTCGTTCGCCTCACCTGTGAATCCGGGCTGACAGACACAAACGTAGCCTGAGGCTCCACGGTGGCTGAAGGAGGGAGGCAAGCCAGCAGTGTGTCCGTACAGATCCTGCGAGGACAGCTCGGCGCATTGCCCTCCAAATTGGCAGGGGTTGCTACTGCATTCATTTATGTCCGTCTCGCACAGGGCACCTGCGTATCCTGCAAGATGAAAGTGTGAAGAAGCTGCTGAGTCAAAGCTCAGGAAATGCCGGGCGCAGGTCTTAAAGCAGGTTCACCACTGTGCCGGTGCCAATTAACAAGGTGCCCACTCTCAAGAAGCTGGCGGGGGAAGCCGATAAGAGGACGCAACATGGAAACAGATTCTAGTAGCAATGATAAGGGATACATAATAAATCTAAAAGATGCATGATTTTGGTCAATAATTTTTAGAAAGGTTTAATTAGTAAGGCTTGAAATAAAATGGAATTTCAACATAACTATCATTTAATTTGAACACTCCACGAAGTGTTCAATTTAAGGAGTCCAATTTAGCAAATAATCCTTTTTAAAATAAAACTTTTTAAAGAGAGTATCTGAAAAGTCAGTAATACCCACATAGCCAACCCTGAGTCCATTTTGCTGCCTAGTTTTTGTCAACTTGACACAGGCTAGAGTCATCAAAGAGGAATGAGCAAGCCAGCAAGCAGCACCCCTCCATGGCCTCAGCATCAGCTCCTGGCTCCAGGTTTCTGCCCTGTGTCCCTTCAATGATGGAGGAGATGTAGAAGTGTAAGCCGAACAAACCCTTTCCTTTCCACGTTGCTTTAACAGCATTCGGAGCCCTAAGTTACCCCTTATAGGTTAGAGTAAGATAGAACTTGGCGATTGCTGTGGCAGACCCGACCATGTTGTTTGGGGGAGAATTATGGAAGACTTTGGAACTTTGGGCTCAAAAAGCTGTGGAAGTTTGGAAGGTAAGTTTGGAGTTTGTTCAAAGAAAGGCAGACATCAGAGCCCGACTTACGAAGTTTCAGGGGGAAGTTTGAAAGTTTCTTGATGACTCTATCAGGGATGTTTGCTGTTTTGAGTTAAGAATCCGTGGTTCTGGCTAGCTGGTGCTGAAGAATCAGATGCCATTAACAAGATTTCCAGTAACAACTGAAGTTAAATATTTGCTTTACTGAGACAATTGATGCTGGTTAGCTGGAGCTGAGATATTAGCAGTGGTTAACAAGAAATCAGCAGTATGGAAGCGAAATTTTCTGAGAAGTGTTTCCTGAGACTCCAAGGCAACACATGAAAGCTGTATTCCAAAGGCTACCAGAGTTATACTTCATGCCTGCAGCTGAACGTTGTAGTGTAAGAATCCCCGGGCGGTACTGGTTTGGAAGGCACGAAGGTATCATGAAGAGCAGCTGCGGTTTGGCACTGTGTATCAAGGCTGGAGTCCTTGAAGAAAAGTCCGGGAAAGGCAATGGTGGAGAGCGCAGCACAGTTGCAGCAGAAGACCCCAGGGTTTTGGAGATGCCAATACCAAGGGACAACCACCAAGAACAGCAGCAGGTGTGGCATGGAGCCAGAAGTAGCCCAGGAGACAGTCTGTGTGTTTGCAGAGCGAAGAGTCAGAGAAGTAATCCAAGCCCGTTGGAGGAGTCCAGAAGATCATGAGTGCCAACCGGTTACCGGACATTGAGTGATTTATACTGTTGGAATTTTGCTGTGCTTTTGATATGTCCATGGTTCTCCCCACTTGAAACAAGAAAGTATTTAACTTTTTTTTTATAGGCACCAACACATGAGTGAACTTAGATTTTAAAAGAGACTGGATTTTGAAAGAAATTTTGATATTTTAAAAAGATTGAACTTTTAAGGTGTTTGAATTTGTAAGACTTGGACTTTTTAAGTTTGTAAAATGTTTTATATTGGGGTATTTATAATAAAGTGTGATCATGGGGATCAACAAAAAAGGAAAGGTAATAGTTTAAGAGTGGTATGCTTGTATGTCAAGTTAACAAGGAATCAGTTTGTGCTGGCCAGTTTTATGTCAACTTGCCATGAGCTAGAGTGTCAGAGGGTCAGTAAGGAACACTGCATCATGGTCTCTGCAACAGTTCCTGCCTCCACTTTCCTGACCTGTTCCTGCCTTCACTGATGAACTAGATGTGGAAGTGTGAACAAATAAACACTTCCCGCTCCCCAGGTCGCCTTGGTCACGGCATTTCATCACAGCAATAGAAACCCTAAGATTCCCCTCAAAGGTCAGAGTAAGGTCAGAGTTATCATCCAGCATACAGAAGATTACCTTATACCTTCCGAGGTTGAGCTAGGTCATATCATTCTCGCCAAGAATTTAAAAATAAATGGCTTATCACTTTATAAGAAACTAAAATATCAAACACAAAAGGAATTTCCTCATTCAATCGGCTTCCGTGTCTTTACACATATGTGTACCCTTTTAAAAACATGGCTTTAGTGAGTGGAGATGGAGCTTTAACATAAAAGAATTGTTTCACATGTGACCTTTCATGGCTTGCTTTGTTTACTCTTAAGTTCTTAAGACAGATCTAACTCATACTGTCCACATAGCTTTAGGCGTCCCAAATGTGGAGGTGTCCCAGGGTAAGCATTCATATACAGCTTGTAATGCAGTTTACAATGCGATGTTATGTGTCTAGATAAAGCCTTGGAGCTGAGGCCTGAAAATGGAACTTCCGTGTTACAGGTTATGCTTGATTATCATGCAGCCAAGTTTAACAGATGCCACTAGGGTATACATAACCAACAAGTGGATATGAATGCCTCTTGAACATGTGCTTTCACAAAATACACATTTTTCACAATATGTTGTTTTAGTTACTTTTCCATAGTTACCAGCAAGTTAAATATATTTGATCCCCAAAATGTTTTATGTCATTTTCCTGTTTTATCCATTAGAAGGATTTCCTTATATGCTGTGCTGTGTGTAGAGCTAACCCCCAAATGTAAGTTTACTGGAACACTGACATGATGCTATTCTGCAAGCTGGTTTAACAAGTGCTTGGAGTCCTTCAAGGAACACAGACCTACAGCACGAGTGACATCTGGAATGTTAACTTAAGTTCACTGAGAAACTTATTTTTTAAGGTGAAATTTATAACCCTAAATCGAAAAACTTGGAAATTAAGTCACAACCTTTATTTCACTTTAAAATAATAAAAATGGCTTCCTGTTTTCACCTAGGATAACATTCAAGATCCTCAATATGAGCTAAGAGCTCCCTTGAAATACGGGCTCTTTGCATCCCAGTGCCCCTTCCTCACCCAGCTCTCCCTCTTCCTCTCTGCAGACGCTTCCTACCCCACAGCCTTAGCAAATATTCCCTTCCCTCCTGGGAAATTTTTTCCCAAGCCTTTTCTTGGCCGACTCTTCCTCAGCTTTCAGACTTTGCTTCTTACTTAGATCACAGCACAATAAGCTGCCTTGGTTTTCTGTCATGTCGCTCAGTCTTTCTCTTCCATTGCTCTTTTGACAACCTTTAATGATGTGTTTATTTGCTTGTATAGTTGCCTACTTCAACAGATTGTCAGCTCCACATAAGCAGGACTGCGTACATTTTATTCAACACTCCACTACCCAGCAATACAGAAATAGCTGACCTTCAATCAATGACGGAGTGAGAATAAAGAGTACTAATTAATGGATAAAATGACAACAATCTAAATTATAGCTGGCTCAGTGCATGACTAGAGAATTAACTATTAGCATGCCAATAATGAGAATACAATATGATTGCTCATTTTGTAACCCTAATAATATCCTGAGTGGATCCTATTTCAAATAATAATCACAACGCAAATCCTCCTGCACCAAACTCTAATATATTTATTTTATGTAACCCTTGGGGCCTTTCTCAATAATCTGAAGAAGAAACTCAAGGCTTGGATAAAGGAACTAAGAAACATGTCAGATAGAGATCTCACAATTCTTTTTGGTGAGCTCCCCAAAGAACCCCTAGGATCTCTTCAATGAGAATGGCTGCCTTTACAATATTTCCACTTCATACTTACATACTTATAAACAGCTACTAAGCAATAGTTTTCACTGTAGGTTGCTATACATCAGAATTTGTTTGCTATAGTGGACTTTCTGGAAAAAAAAAGCGTGGGCGGTTTGTAATTTTCTTTTTATTCTAAGACTCAAGACTCACACATCAGCCAGGTTAGGAAGAGATTTAGAACTGTAATAAATCCTTCCTTGCTTTTCCGGCTTTCACATTATCTCATTCAATCGGGAGCACGGGGAAGTCCTGATTTATGTGTTTGCCAGTTCTATCCACACCACCAAGGCTCTGGGGGGAATTTTAGTTGCTGTTCTCTTTAACCAGATATAAATAGATTCCTTCAGTCAAGACCACAGTCAATATTTTTTAGCAAGTTTCTCTATAAATCTCTGTGCAAAGAAACAACACAATATTGAGTCAGATCCTCTGAGTTTGTGGGGATATTCTTTGTTTGTTTTCATATTCAATCTTGCCTGGGCATCAGGAACACTTTTGTGACAAACCTTTAAGTTGAAAGACACTTCTCAAACTTAATTACTTTTAAAGTAAGGACTTTAAACAAATGCAACAGTTTTTAGCGCTGGTTTTACAGGCAAAGCAGCGGTCTTTTCTTACTTTTAAAGTGCCTTATAGCATCAAACCTCATTATCTACAACAGTGAGCAGAGGATACAAAGACATTCTTACTTTTCTCCCTTCCAAGTACTAACCAGGCCCAAGCCTGCCTAGCTTCCGAGAGCAGACCAGATGGGGTGTGTTCAGGGCAGTATGGCCATAGACATTCTTATTTTCTACCTAGGGTAGCTAACCCACATCCAAACAGTGACCTCAGAAAGAAAACCAGATTCTGGATAGTGTTGAATACGCCCATGTCATTTACCTCTTATGTGACCCTCTCGGCCACTGTGTTAGTTGATTTTTCATAGATATGATGCTAATACTCACAGGAACAACATAACAGAGAAATGAATGGGCTTGGGTCCTGGTTTCAGAAGCTCCCAGTCCATCACAGCAGGAGAGGCATGGGGGAAGGGACTCAGTCAGAAGTGGCAGAGACATGTGGTAGCAGCTAGTTAGGGTATGTAACTTCCCTCTCCCATATTTGCAAGGTAGACAAGAGCCTCTGAGCTGTGGCTGCCATTCCTACTGCCATCCCTCCGCTGCCAGCCAATA